TAATTTTAATTAAAAAATGCGACCAATATTTGACTAAATATGTTCACAAACGAATCTATTTGTTTATTCAATCGAAATAAATGAAAATCTGTACTATAAAAATGTTATTAATTAAAAAATGCGACCAATATTCGACTATCGAAAGAAATCAACGAATAATTATCAAAATTTGACGATGATATATTGAATTGAGAAAAAAATTTGTTCAAAAATATAAACGCGACCCTGATTGATTTAATGCAAATCTAGGAAAAGCGTTATTTAAATATTACGAATCCTCGCTAAAGTCCACGAATAGCGCGGCATTCCTAACAAAGCTTGATTATTATTTTATTAAATTGTTATTAAAAAAAAAAAAAAAAAAAAAAAAAAGAAAGAGTCGCGATGGCCGTGTGTGTGATAATTATATTATACAATAATAATAAATATATTGATTAAAGACAAATTATTATTATTATTATTATTATTATTATTATTATGATTGATTAGAGAAAATAAAAAAATAAAAAAAAATATCTCAAAAAGCGGGAGAGAACGCGTTTTTTTTATTTACCACAGTGTTTAGGGAATTTGTTAACATTGGAAAAAAACAAAAAAAAATCTTTAAACTCGTGTGTGCATCTAAATTCTCTCCCAAGAAGGTTCCCGCCCACCTTCTTCTTCTTCTTTCATCAAATTATTTTCTCTATCTCTCTGTCTCCGTTAATTTAATTATTACTCGTTAATAAATTGTTTTATTTTTATTTTATTTTTATTTTTTTATTTTATAGATTACTTGGTACACGATTAATCGTTTTTATTTGGTACGCTTAAGAGTGTGATTGATAGATAAGATAARATAGATTAGATAAAGATAACCCGTAAAACTTGCCCAACTCTTATACTCAATAAATAATAGGCTATTATGGCTTTTGAGGCCGTGCTTTTTATATATCGTGAATACTAAATGTCTCTCTCGATTCTCTCTCGATTATTATTATTATTATTATTATTATTATTATTATTATTATTATTATTATTATTATTATTATATTTATAATGGCCTACTTCAATCTTTTTGTTCTTTTCTCTCCGCGTTTTATATTTCATTTTTTTTTTTTTTTAATAATTTTTAAATACCAAATATTTTGTGATTTCACTTTGTCAAATCTCTCTTTTAAAGTCATACTAATTTATAATTAATTAGTGTAGTACAAATTTACAGTTATTGAAGAAGAAAGATCATTTAAAATAAAATTTAAAAAAAAGAGAGACAGAGAGAGAGAGAGAGAGAGAGAGAGAAAAAGAACAGATTATTTTTGTTCATTGATCCTTATTAGTAAATAAAATTCTGTCTTGAATTTATTTTAAGCTACACTCTGTGTGGTGTTTTGTTGTTGTGTAATAATAATAGTATTAATAGTAGTAATAATAGTAAGTCATATTTTTTAAACGATACTGCCGATATAATAATAATAATAATATTATCTATATTTGGAACTGGCCCTTAATCATCGTCATTTTAAAACTTAAACGTTAAATTGAAAATTGTATTCTTTATCATGTGTGTGTTTATTTATCATCAAGAAGAATTTATTCTAGTCGCGAGATAATTAATTAATTTATTTATTATTATTATTATTATTATTATTATTATTATTATTATTATTATTATTATTATTATTATTAATACGTGATGTGTTGTGAGAAATAATCGCGTCGTGTGGTTCGTAACCGATCTTTCTCGTCGTCAATTATTTTTATAAAAATTATCAATAATATAAGGGAAAAGAAATATAATAATAATAATAATAATAATAATAATAATAATAATAATAATATTAATAATAATAATTGTAAATGACGACTATGACAATGACGACAACGACCACTATGAAGATGAATAATTGTAATGAATATGAAGATGATAAATGATGTTTGACTATGACGATGATTGTTAACGAAGATATTATACTTCGTTAAAAATAATAATAATAATAATAATAATAATAATAATAATAATAATAGTAATAATAATATCGGATAAACATGACGACGAGAAAGAATTTGTTATCTTTCGTTGAAGATAAAAGAGGCCAAGGAAAAATCGACGAATGAGATCCTTGCTGTGTGAGTTTTTCGTCTATGAACGTTTAAAGAATGAAAATAGTAAAACTATTTTTCAATTCTTTAACAACGACGACGAGTCGGTGTTTTCTTCTTGGCTCTTGAAAAGACAATAATTCGATCGGAAACGATCCAAACGTAATTTCTAAATAGAGAGGAGAGAGATTTTTCATATATCTCTTGTATTTTTGTTCTTTCTTTTCTTGTTTGTTTGTTTGTTTGTTTGTTTGTTTTTCTTTCTTCTTTTTTTCTCCTTTTTTGAAATCTTCATCGAAGCATTTACAAAAGCCATTTGGCTATCAAGAAGATGATAAGATGTGGCGCGATGCTGGATAATGATGCACCACCGGTCACTCTAACGTCGCTGTCCTTTAAAAAGACACCATCGATCACGTGAATAATGCCATTGGTGCATTCAACGTCATGACGGAATACTCGTATCCATTTGCCTTCCCATTCGATTTGGTAACCTGCAAGATATAAAGTCAAATGGTTATATTTAAATTAATATTAAATTTATTTTATTTTGAAATGATTACAAATTGATTATTAATATATATATATATATGTGTATGTATCTGTATGTATGTATAAATAAAATAGAGATCAAGCGCTGACTGTTTTAGCTTTCAGCGAACGTTATGGTTTTTTTTGTTCTTTTTTTTTTTTTTTTATGGAGGAACAAACTCGAGAGACTTTATTTTATTTTATTTTATTTTATTTTATTTTTTACGATCCTATTTCGAGCGTTAAATATTAATTATGAGACAATTCTGTTTCTTGATGTGGTTTTATATATATATATTATATGCGTGTTGTATTTAAAGTTCTCTCGATAATTGGTATTTTGATCATTGATGGCGAACCTGTGTGATTTCTAGGGAATGGATATCATTATATAATTATAGTAATATCTGTAGCTGATGGTACAAGCGAAAAAGGAATGATTAAACATGAAAAAATAAGTTGAAAATAATGAATAAATATTTTTCGTTTAAGGCTTTGTTTTCGGGAAAATCGACTTTGAATCTTCGCAAAGTACGCGTGCACTTGATCATGTCTCGTTATAACGGACTTACGGACTTTTTGGAAATACCGATCTACAGTGAGATCTGTTGTAGTGAGACGTGATCAAGTGCACGCGTACTTTACGAAAATTCAAAGTAGGTTTTCTCGAAAACAAAGCCTCCAACGAACAATTTTTATTTTATATTTTCGATTTATTTTTTTATGTAGAATCACCCCCTTTTTGCTTGTACCACCAGTTACAGATCACCCTGTATATTTTATTTATATTTTTGTATAATTTATATAGTTCTTTTTATATATTTACATTAATATATATATATATATATATATATATATATATATATATATATATATATGTATATAATATTAATTATAATACTATTTGTAATTATTTATATATTAGCATATACTACATATAGTAATTTTTTTCTTATTTCTATTTTTGTTTATGTATTTTTTAATTAGATTTTAATTGATCACCAAAAGTGGGTTCGCCATCACTGGAGTTCGAAGGGATTTTTTGTTTAGCGGCCTACTTGAGGATGCATTAGATGAAAGGAATGAACACACAAGAGATAAATATTACATTAAATTTGACATAATTTATTTGTAAAAGTCCTATCCTACCGTCTACGGTTTATCTAATGTTTTTCAGTTGTTTCAAATTATCCTAGGGTGAATGATACTTTTTTTATTAATGTGATTGTTTTTCATTCAAATGCAAGTGTTTTTTTGTTTTCCTTTTTTTGTCTTTCTCCCCTCGCCCGCCCCCCTAGGTATATAATCACTTGCAGTGCGAACGAGTAAAATAGAAGAAAATGTAGTAAATGAAGAAAGAGGAAGGGACAGAAAAAAAATATTGTCATAGTTCAACGAAATTTCATATAAATTTGATATAAATTTGATAAAAATGTATTAGAAACAATTTTAAACCTACAATTTTATTTACTTCTCGATTATTTTTATCTTTGAAATATAACATAATAATGATTTGTTATATTTTATATTTGATATTATTAAAATATAATTTATATACACAAATACTTGTTATATTTCAAACAAAAACAATATAAATATTTTTTTTTTGTAAGGTTTAAAATTTTTCTTTTTAAAATTGTTTTTGTTAGAATCATTTTCAAAGAAAATATTTCAAATTTTTGATTAACATTTTATTTTTGTATCTTCCTCTTTTTCATCATTATCACGAATGACCGATGATGACAAAATTCAGATTGTGCGACTGTGCAAAATAAAGTAGAGAAAACATAATCAAAAGATTGAATGAAAAAATTAAAAAAAAAAACAAAAAACAAAAAACAAAAAACAAAAAAAGAAAAATGTAATTGCTAAAGCTTGAAAATCTAATTAATAGCTTTGCTTTAATAATAACATTATTAAAACGATACTAAAGGCATACGTGTATGTAAATAATGATTAAAAGAACAAAAAAAAAAAAAGAATTCGTGGTTTCTTCTCGGTTACTGCAGCTGTTGTTGTTGACTGTAGAAAAGTTTGACAGACATAATTATCGTTCGGTATAGGTAAAAAGAGAGAAATAGAGATAGAGAGATAGATAGATAGATAGAGAGAGAGAGAGAGAGAAAGAGAGGTATACCTATAAATCGTGCAACGTTTACGTTCAAATAAGCAAGAAAGAAGAAATAAGTATAATTATATATACTTTATGCTAAAACAAAAGAAAAAAAAGCACGGGCCACTGATAAATTATGTATACAAAGCGTTTCGAGTAAAAGCACCGAATTATTCTGCAATTTGCAAGATTATATATGTATATATATATATAAATATATAAATATATAGGAATTATATACTCGCATGTAAAACACATGTGTATAAGTACTTCATTAGCTACGATTTCGAAGCAATTTTATAATATATATATATATAGATATATTATCTGTACATATATATATATATATAATAGTTTACACATAAAATGTCAATATGCGAACGAGGACACGTGGTGAGATTGCGTCAAAATTGCTTTTTTCCCCCGTCTTCCAATCTTCCTTGGATAAAATAACGACAGCTATTTTTACAAAAA